TGAACCGCTGCTCTCCTCCAGGCTACAGACAGTACAGTACCTCCTGATCAAGAGCCACAAACAATGCTCCTTCCTCCTGCACAAGGGGAATTCTGGGAACTGTAGTTCTTGGAAGCGGGGTGCTCGGCTGCTGGCATGAAAGGCACCAGGCTTTACCCCATAGGAGCAGGACAGAGACGCGACGGACAGGTGCCTTCCACCTGAAGCCCGCGGAGCCAGTCGTCATACCGGCTGCCCTCCTGCCTCTCCCTTCCCACGTACACTGGCCCTAATGGAGCAACTGCGTCCCTCCCCGAAAGGGTGACAAGCCATTGTTCGTCGCCCCTCGGCCGCTTCTTTCCCTTCCCAGCGCCCGCCCACCGCGGCCGTCTCACTCATTCTCGCCCGCTCACTATTTCTCCGCTTTAGCGATGTGCTCCAAGCCTTCGTTGATTTTCTGAGCAGCCATGTCGCCTGACAGCAGTCGCAGCCGCTCCACTAGCTGCTGCGTCAGCGGAGTAAGGAAAGCCGCTGAGCCCAAATGCATCAAAAGGCAGAGTCGGGCGAGACCTTCGAAGTGCGCCTGCGCGAAGAGGTGGTTCCGCATCTATAAAAACAGCTGCTTAGTCTGTCTCTGGAAACTGGTGGTGGAATTCCATGTGGAGTTTGTGGTTTCGGGTGCGAGTAACCTTGTGTAGGGCTGCCAACCTCCGGGTGGGGCCTGGGACTATGGGACTGAGGTGCATTATGGAAGAAATGTTTAGAGGATAGCCCTTTTGGTCTACAGTAAAACAGCAAGATTTGAGTCCAGTAGCATCTTAAGGACCAACAAGTGTGTGTGTGGGTAGGGTGTTAAAGATTTTGAGAGTCAAAGTTCCCGTGACTCTAGAAATCTTATACCCCCCCCCCAAATTTTGTTGATCTCTAAGGTGCTACTGGACTTAAATCTAGCTATGGAAGAAAGTTGACTAATAAATGTTTTAAATAAATGAATTACAATTGATCTCCGGACTACAGAAACCAAGTACCTAAGACGGTCACCTAATACAAAAAAAATGGGGGGGGGGGGGGGGGCAGACGTCTATGAGGGACCCCTGCTCCTTCTGTTCTGTGAGGCAGATTTTCCTACCAAAATACCATTCACCACTCTGACTGAACAGCCTCTTAGAAGAGTGTTTGAATCATAAACTTATAATGTTCTTTGTGTCCCATCCCACCCAGTGTTAAAGAAGTTATTTGGCTTTTTGTAACTCAGCAGGAGCCCTCTTATAAAACCTCTTTGGAAATGGCAGGACATGAAGTTGAGTTAAAACAAAAAGGTTGATTTTCTTGAACAGGCACAGTTGTAACAGGATTAGGGCAGTGGATGATGAGTTTTTTAAACTGTAGTTCTTTATAAGAAAATTAGAATAGATAGTGTGCAACTGCAATAAAAAAGGTCAATGTTATGCTGGGGATTATTAGGAAGGGAATTTAAAACAAATCAGCCAGTATCATAATGCCCTTGTATAAATCAATGGTGCTGTGTACTGTGTACAGTTCTGGTCACCACACCTCAAAAAGGATATTATAGCATTGGAAAAAGTGCAGAAAAGGGCAACTAGAATGATAAAAGGGTTGGGACACTTTCCCTATGAAGAAAGGTTAAAGCACTTGGAGCTCTATCTTGGAGAAACGATGGGTATGGGGTACATGATCGAGGTGTATAAGATTATGCAAGGGATAGAGTCTCACAATACAAGAACTCGTGGGCACTCAATGAAATTGCTGAGCAGTCAGGTTAGAACAGATAAAAGGAAGTACTTCTTCACCCAAAGAGTGATTAACACATGGAATTCACTGCCACAGGAGGTGGTGGCAGCTACAAGCATGGATGGCTGAAAGAGGAAATTAGATAAACATATGGAGCAGAGGTTCTTCAGTGGCTATTAGCCACAAGGTATAGATAGGAACTCTTGGTCTGGGGTGACTGATGCTCTGTATTCTTGGTGCTTGGGGGGGGGGCAACAGTGGGAGGGCTTCTAGTGTCCTGGCCCCACTGATGGACCTCCTGATGGCACCTGGAATTTTTGGCCACTGTGTGACAGAATGTTGGACTGGATGGGCCATTGGCCTGATCCAACATTGGCTTCTCTAATGTGCTTAATATCTTGAACAGGCAACAGAACATACTTAAAGCTTGGATTCTAAGAGAGTTAGTTCTTTACTGTGAGAGATTTGTTTGTCTTGGAGATTTCTTACAGCAACAAAGTTTCACAACAATATCTCAGTTTTCTGGAAGTTAGAACTTTCTTCCTGTATATCAGTATTTCTGTTTTGGAATTATAACTTTCCCTTTCTGTACTTTTGAGGAGTCTAAGACTGTTTCCCTTTTCACTTCTCAAACCAGAGGTCCCTTCTGAATTGAACCCTCTGACTAGTTGGATAAGGAATATCCTCCTTTTCCTAGGAGCCGATAGCCCTTTTCTGTTTGGCTAGGCTGTCAGTTTTCCACTAACTACCCAACCTCTTCTGGCAAACCTTAACTCCAGTTCTGGAGACTGTGAACAAACTGAATTCAGCGAGAGCTTCCAGTTTATGGAGCAGCAATGGCAGATGTTCTCCCTGAACCGTGGGAGAGCGATCCGCACACCAGCGGTTTGAAGAGGTGCCACCTCAAGTGACACCCCCACAGAGCCTTTATGATAGGCTCCAGGCCAGAGGGCTTTTGAGGGGTAGCCTCTTTGATGGCAGAACGCCGGAGAATTGAGGCTCCCCTCCGCCCTGACGGTCCAGCTGCTGTGTTTAACCTTAGATTTGACCACAAGCTGGTTTGACCGGGACAAGCGCTGGAGATCGAGCGGAATGGCGTTTAAAGTGAGCGAGGTCAGAGAAACTGACCAACAATTAACGTGGGTTCAGAATAAACCGTATTGTAAAAGCGGATATCCCCCCCCCCGGCAAAAGCAGACTGCAAAGAGGGACACCTCTTATGCGTATGAATTGATAAACGACACTAAGGGGGAGAGGGGAGGAAATGCAACGAGTGTGTTTTGAGAGACTTACTTGAATACCGACATTGTGAGGCGATTTTTCGAGCCGGGGAGAAGCGGTAGAAACTGTAAACAAATCGTGGAAAAATGGCGGCCCAGAAAAGAAAGCTGAAAACGAAACTGACGGGCAGCCAGAGCCCAAAAACCGGAAGAGGGAGCAGACGTCATTAAAATGCTAGCGGACATGCTCTAGCTGGTGATGGAGCAACTCGATGGTATTAACCAGCAATTGATCGTGATGAATAAGAACTTTGCATCTCAGCAGCTCCAGCTGAAAGAAATGGAGAAGAAAGTGGAGCAGGCAGCTGAGAAAATTAAAGAGATAGACAGCACAAGTAAGAAATTGAAGAAAAGAATGGGAGAAGTTGAAACAAAGCAAAACTTCCCAGAAAGCCGTTTGCTACAAATACAGATGGAAAAAGCTAACATGATTCTGAGGTTCCAGGGAGTTCCTGAAATGGAGAAGGAGGACCTGAGGAGGTTGCTCAGCGAGATCATCGCTCTAGCAATAGGCTTAACAGCGGATGAGCTGGTAAAAGAAATGGAGATGGCCTATAGGGCATACTCCAATTATATTAAAAAAAAAATAGCCTGCCTGGAGAAATAGTGGTCAGATTCCCAAAAAGACAGACCAGAGATGCTATTTTAAAACCGACATCAGCAACTCCACTGAAAATGGGAAATATTAATAACCTTTCTGAATTTCTTGGAAATTAAATGGAAGATGGCTGAGTTAAAATGGTTCAAATACTGGAGATAGAAGATTTTTTTGGTCAGCATATTGTTTAAATGGGGAAATATTGATGAGTTCAAAGTCTCTGCAGAGTGAACAAACAGATAGTGTTGAGTAGGCAGAGATTCACTTTTATGCCATCTTCCATAGGTGGGCAATTAACTGCCTCAGCCAATTAGTGCTTTGTGCCTAATTTGATTTCAAAGGGGCTGAGGCAATGGTTCCCCTGTCCCAATGGCCATGTTGTCAGTAATTCTCAAAACAGTCCTGTAAATATAGCTTAATATTGTCTTGTTCCCCATTGCAGTTGCAGGGCTGAGGCCAAATACCCCTAGCTTGTCAAAGGACACATACTCAATTCATTGCAAGCCAAAACCCATCTTCTGGGTGTGGAACAGCGGTCCCTGGGGGTGTGCATAACTCATGCAGGCCCAGCTGCTTGCTACTGCTCAACAGCTACTGCCCCATGAAGTGTTGTGTAGTGGTTAGTGTTCCAGACAAGGATTTGGGAGACCCAGGTTTGAATCTGAGTTGGGAAATACCTGGGGATTTTGGGGGTGGAGCCTGAGCCTTCTGACACAGGGGGTGTGGTATATGCAAATAAGTTATGCTAATGAGTTATGCTAATGACCTCCTGCACTTCTTTTTCTACGAAATGACCCCTGGAAGGGATGCTAACTCTTATCCACTCTGCACCTTAAAAAAGCTAGCTTGTAGGGGACAATGTTCCTCACAAAATCTGGCTGTGAGAACACTGCAAGAAATGGAAATCCTCCGATGAAGCCCTGATTTCCCCCACATCTTAATCCAGAAGTGAAGAGAAGCTATATACAATGTATAGTATCCTACCATCCATGAGAGGAAGGCACAGAGAATTTTCCTACATTCCTCTCCTTTCCTGCAGCAATTTTTGACCTCTGGAGTGTAGGGTTGCCAGCTCTAGGTTGGGAAATATTTGGAGATTTTAGGGGTGAAGCTTAGGGAGGGTGGAGTTTGGGGAGGTCAGGACCTCAGAGGGTTATATTGCCATGTAGTCCACCATCCAAAGCAGCCATTTTCTCCAGTGGGACCAATCTCTGTTGCCTGGAGATCTGTTGCAACAGCAGGAGATCTCCAGCCACTACCCGGAGGTGGTCAACCCTACTGGAATGATCATTCCTGGGATTGCAGAATCCATGCAGTGGAACAGTTGTGAAGGTTGGTGGGCTGAAGTGAGGCAGTGCAAGGGGATGAAGTGGACCCCTTTCCTCAGTAGACCTGCTCTTGCAGAAGAGGAGGGAAGAGCAATTTTACCTTCCCCTCCCCCAACCTACACAGCTGGCCCTTCATGAGGTCCCATGACCCTGGGAATAGTCTTTCAAGGGCCATAAGGGACTGCAAAGAACACAGAAAAATGTGGTGCTCCAATGCACAGAGTGGTAGCTATAAAGAGCACCTGCGGTTCCTGCCCTGAGATGTCCCAGGAAAAATCAGCAAGGGCATGCACACATGCACATCCTCAGAGGCTCCAAACAGTAGAAAAGCAGCACCAGGGACAACATAATGGTATCCAGCACATTGGCCAGTGAGACTAAACGTTGTGTTCCTACTGAAAATGTCTTTTCCTATTATTGTATACCTCAATAAAGCACTTTGTAACAAAGCTAATAAATCTTGTCTGGTTGCTTTTGGATGTGTTCCTAATACATGTAAGCTGTTTAGGAAAATCAAGTGTATTTGGAAGTAAAGTGAGCATTTTTGCCAATATTTCCATGACTTTT